CCCCCCCCCCTTTTTTTTAACGTCGTTATCTGCCGTAACAAAAAAACTACGAAAATAAAAATGTAATTTTTTTTGCTTTATCGCGACAAATACAGTTGCTGTTTTGATTTTGTTTCGAATGACACTGTTAATTTGATAATTACTCTTTATCGCGCGAGACGCGTCACGATTTTCCGTCGCGCGGCGTCGTGAAGCAACCGTTACACAATTCCATTGTACAATATTTGTTGTACGATTTGTAGAAATACACGTACATGCGCGTACGTGTGTGTCGTACACACGGGCGAAGAGTATAACGTGGCTGATGTACTGCATTCGTGAGATTACGCGTGAACTACTTTTCGAGAGAATGTGTCGCGATAAAGTTTTTTCTTTTTATCGAGCCGTTGCGTGCTCGATCGTATCGAGCACGCCGTGATTAGGTTATCACACGGTGTTTTCAAAACTGCCAACAAACGATAGACCAATAATCAACAAACGCGATAGGGAAAATACCGAAAGCAAAGTGAATCGCTGGAATGCTTAATTGCACCGCGTTACCACGTTATTACCGCATATTATTATCTAATCGGGAAACAGGGAAGAAAGAGAAAAGAAAAAAAAAAAGAAAGAAAAAGAAATCGATAACTCATGAAATTGACTTTGACGGGCACTATAATAATAGTTCGAGAACGGTCGAGTTAGCGAGAAACGCGTAACTCATTCTTCCACATTCGAGGCGGAATGAATAAAAGTAAAGGAGGCTTTAAAAGGACAAGCGTTTAAGCAGCTAGGGAAGAGAGAATGCTAAGTGGCAGGGCAAAGAAGAATACTAAGGAAGGCATTCGTCGGGGATAACCGCGGAGAACCGACCGGATGCAATGCCAGAATGGGAGTGCAAGCCTCCGCGCGCGCAAGAGTCCGTTACTCGCATCGGGTATTTCCCAGAACGCGACTATAAACAAACAAACACACGAAGAGAAAGAGAGAGGGAGGGAGGGAGAGAGGGAGAGACAGGGCACTGCGCGCGTGTGATCCATGCCCTCCCTTCCAAGGCAACAGTACCGACGAGCCAGAAGTTCGACGGGGTTGGGAGGGGGATGAGAATACTGGCGCCGTCGGTTGAGTAACCCCACCAGTATCGTTGCGCATGCGCACTCCACGGGATTCCCCAGCCCTCCCCTACTACCGGTCATCTATCCAAAGCCCCACTACCGTGCTTCTTTTTCTCTTCTCCTTAGGCGGCGGTCGAATTCGCACGTAAAGTCGTTCTGAACGTTTGCCTATGATGACAAACTGTCCACAGTGTTTACTGTCGATAGTGCACCGATTTTGAATAGAAGAATGTCGGTCGTCGACAAGCGGGGTCCGTTCGATAATTTCCTCGGGAAAGTTATCTCTATAAAATTATCTTTGTAACGAGAAAAGTAACAGAGAGACGCGTGTATCTAGGGGATACGCACCGCCTAGGAATATGTAAATGACGCTTCTTCGATTTCTGCTTTCTTTCATGGCGATGCTTTGTGTACCTGGCATTCTACAATATTCCCTGCACCAGAGCAAACAGTCGTAACGACGCGAGAATTGTACGCAGTATTTATCGTTTCCATTCGTGATGTCACGCAGCAGAAATTTTATTAAGGAACTTTTATTTCCTTTTCGCATCGAATCACGCTCGACAAATATACACAGCCAGTTCCTCGAAAGATTAATCCTCCCGACCAGATAAACGAATCACCGAGATTTCGAAAATATTCCGTGAGGAATTTAACGGAAA